CTGGCCGATTAATTGAGATTTTGTTAATCTTCGGCAAACAGTAGAGGAATTTTTCATCGTAAGTTTCCCTAGTGAGGGATTTAATTCCCACATCTGATCTTTTATCTTGGTGTCACTCTCAATGCGGCTGCACTCCATCTTTTTCAGAAGCTACAATTTCACCCTAATCTTCTCCCACAACGCCCAATCTTCATTTGACATTCCTTCTTGAAGATAATCAGTTTCGACCTGATCTTCTCCAACAAAGTTTACAATTTATTTTTTCAACTCCTCTCAGTGTTTGTAGCCTGTTTCTACTGGTTACTCAATTATTACTCCCCACAGAGTTTCAGCTCTACAAGAATTTCTCTCTAGTGACTCTTTATATCTTCTCTTCTCCAACAGATTTTGCATTTTATTTTTGCAAGTCATGTCAGATTTTGACTTCTTGGTTGTTGGCTTCTCGATTGGTCATTCCCCAATGAAGCATTTTAAACATGCATCATTACATTGCATCTACTAAAACGCGTAGCATTTCCATTATATGGAGCATTACGCTATAAAAAATTCAAACATGCATCAGAACATAAGCCATTACTGTTTCTGTTTCCCCTAGTGAATTTGCCAATACTTCAGATTATGTCCCCAATGAGGTCTTCATCCTCAATATCTTAAGTTCACCTCTTACAAATATCATGTTGATGTTAATCATTTGAATGGTTGAGTGTTTTCTTCTGTTGTAGCTCATTTTATCCTGACCTAATTTTCTCTTGTTTTCACTACCCTCGTTGGTTCGTTCCAATGAATTTTGATTTACCTTTTGAATACCAGTTTCGTCCTGATATTCACTTTCAGCGGGTTTTTAGGTGTACGCCCTAATCACCTTGCTTTGGGTCGAGCTTTAAGTTTCGTCTCTTCACCCGCGCATAAAATCCAGTTTCGTCCTAGTACTCATCTAGTTTAGTTTCGTCTAACTAGTTATAATGAGTCGAGTTTCATCTCGTTTTGTTTTCATACCTTGGACCCTCTATCGGTTTTCATTTACCGAGTCTCTTTGCAGTGTTCATACTGCATCCCTGGTTGAAATCAGTCTCTTTTATTCCTTGGATACTTTTATCAGTTTTCGTTACTGTTTATCCACTAATCTGAGACCAGCAGGTGCTCTGAGAAACACACACTCTCATCACTTTGCTTTGGGTCGAGTTTCGATCTCGTCGCCTGTGCATGAAATCTAGTTTCGTCCTGGTACTCATCTAGTTTAGTTTCGTTTAACTAGTTATAATGAGTCTAGTTTCGTCTTTTTTTGTTTTCATACCTTGGACCCTCTATTGGTTTTCGTTTACCGAGTCTCTTTGCAGTGTTCGTAATGCGTTCCTAGTTGAAATCAATCTCTTTTACTCCTTGGATTCTTCTATCAGTTTTCGTTACTGTTTATCCATTGGTAAGAGAACAGTGGGTGCTCTGAGAAACATGCACTCTCATCACTTTTGTTATGGGTCGTGTTTTTCCTCGTTTCCCGTGCATGAAATCCAATTTCGTCCTAATACTCATCTAGTTTAGTTCCGTCTATCTTAGGTTGAGATTAGCAGGTGCTCCTAGAATCACGCACTCTAGCCACCTTGCCCCGCGTACTTTTCAGAGTTTAGTTTCGCCTATTCTCCATGGTTTGAGTCTTATCTCACCCTTGTGAGATTCAATTTTATCCTGACACATTTTTTAGAATCTAGTTTTTGCTAGTATTTTTGGGTAAGTTTCATCTCATTATTGTAATTCATGATCCAGTTTTATCCTGGCGCATCTTTCTGAAGCCTAGTATCATCTAGTCGTCCCGGGTTGAGTTTCGTCTCAATTTTGTGATTTGTATCCAGTTTTGTCTTGACACTTTCCTTTTGAAATCTAGTCTCATCTAATCTTTCTAGTTTGAGTTTTTATCTCATAGTTAAGAGTTAATATATGTGTTCTAATCTTGCCCTAGCCTGTTCTCCCATAATTTATCATCACTATTTTCTCATGTTTGGTGTCATCCTTGCAATATACAGTTACCTGTGTTTCTGCGCTTCTATTTGATTCAGAGTGCAAATTTTTGGGTTCTTTTAGTATTCAATCCTCTTCCACCTTGAACGTTCGAAAGCTGTCGCTTTTTCTCACTTATCAGGTTTAAGATGATTGAATAAGGGCAGCTGTTGCACCCCAAAATTTGCCCTATTCATCTTACGTTTGTGGCTTATGTTTCGTCATACACATTCACGCATTTTAAGGACAAGATCAAGGTATATCTTGTTTTCATGATCTTCTAGAAATTATGAAGTTGTTTGTTTCATCAATTATTGAGGAGATGAGTCTCAGACCTTCAATTTTTGGGTCACTCAAGCTACATGAGGTTCCCATACTACAGGATATCTCGAATGTCTCTTTAATTCATTAGGAGTTTGAATAGGGCATATTCAATCGTCAACTGAGAAGGTATTTTATTTGGTTCTAAGATCAAGTAAATATTTAATTGCTTGAAGCATAAGTCGCTTATGGTTAGAGAATTGGAGAAAGGATCATCTGTAAATTGAGGATTGGGATGCATTTCTACTACTTTTGGTATCATCAAATGACTCGGGTTTTGATACAACAATTATCATCAGTTAAAGCGCCCCAACTTTAAGGTTTCATTTGGTTCTTATGATCTTTTGAATGTTGATTCATCATTTTGGGTTTAAGTGATTTGTCTATTGGAAGAAAATCTTTTTTTGAAATGTTTGGTTAAGTTACATTCATGGCCATTTCCTTGAGATTTATGTCATACTTTCATCATACACTTCAAAGGAAAACAAAGTGAGATGGAGGAGGCTAATTAGAATTGACTATCATTGGAATTCAAGTTCTACTCATTCATTTTGGTACACGTTTCTACAAGTCTAACTTTATACAAATTTCATCCATTGCTCACCAAAGTTTCAATTGCATAATAAAAGGAAGTATGTTCAAGTTCAAGTTCCAAGTATTCAAGACTTACAAGTTCAATTTCAAATTTGAATCCATACAAGTTTACAAATGTTGAAAACACAATTTCACTTTAATGCAAAACCAAAAGTTGAAGCCAATATCGGATGCCACCATCTTTTCTTTCATTCAAAGCCAATATTGAATGTCAAGATCTTTTTGTTTCCATCCAAAGCCAATATTGGATGTTGTTCCCTTTTCCTTCATCCAAAGCCAATATTGGATGTTGTGATCTTTGTTGTTATCCGAAGTCAATATTGGATGCCATGATCTTTTATTTCCATCCAAAGCCAATATTGGATGTTGTTATCTTTTGCTGTCCAAAGCCAATATTGGATGCCATGATCTTTTTCTGCCATCCAAAGCCAATATTTGATGTTTCTATCTTTTCTTCCATCCAAAGCCAATATTGGATGTCGTGTTTCTTTTTCGTCCAACGTCTTTCCTAGATGACTCTGACGTGACTTCAGATTTGGTCTCATCCCACATCTAAGGTTCTTCTAGATGCTTCTGATTGTTTTTCAGAGAGTTATTTGCCTCATTCAATGCCATTCTTGGATGTTGGTGCTTGCCTTCTCAGATTTCATCTCTTTTTCCCCAAGTATTGATGGTTACTCTTTGTCACCCTGACAGATATCCAGAAGTATCTTGTTGTTTCCTTAGCGTGTCTTTCCACGTCATTTCATCTGAATTACCATAAATTTCCAGTTTCGAGTCTTTCCACATTCCCAGAAAGTCTGTATCATCTCATATATCATTAAAAAAAATATATGTAAAAAAAAGAGTCCATCCATTCATTCATAACATATGATATCATCTCATCGCATCAGGGACGAAATTCGGGTTTGTTTGTATTTAATTACTTTCCGCCTATATGGCTAAAAGATAATTAAATAGGGACAACTGTTGTACCATAAATTTAGCCCCTAATTTTTTCAGTCGCACTTCATATCATATTTTGTCATTTGGTCACAATCATTAATGAATAGCTTCATTCATCACATTTGCATCATTTAATCGTGTTTAAGTTGACCAAAAGCCAATTTAAATTGACATTTGCATCATTTTGTTGTTTAAAATACCCGACATTTCACTGCATGCATTTTTATCTCTTTACTCATTTCTTGTGTTGCTCCAAGTTGTGTATATGTCGATAATATTAATATTTCAGTTTTATAGACAATCTGTTGAAAGCGATTCAACGCTGTGCGAAAAATTAGCGAGAAAAATATTTCAAGTTTTCACCTTTACCGATCATTTTATGAATCTGCGTTTCGCGTAGATTATGACGGTATGCTCGCTTTATTTTTTCGATACAGTTTGAAGTCTCGTTTTTAATCATAAACGTCTGTTTAGCCTGATATTTTTATTCTCATTTTATTTCGATTTTGACTTTTTGAATATTTTTTCTTTAATCTTTGTGACATGTAGTTTATTTTTATTCTCATTTTATTTTTTTGGATAAATTTTTGTCCGTTTTTTATCGTTTTTAGTCTTTATTTTTTATTCAGAAAAAATTCAAAAAAATTATTTTAAATTGAATTAATTTTAATACTTTCAATTTTCTTGGTTATTTTTATCATTTAAGGGCTTTTTAGTTACAAAAAAATGTTTATTACACTATGCTTGATTCCTATTGGTTGTTAACAGAAGTTAGGAATCAGTAAATTGCCAAAACGGAATTGAAATTTTGAACGGGTGTGATTGAATTTCAGATCATATTTTTCCTTTTCATTTCCTATATAAAGCCATTTATTATCTTTGTAATTGATAACACAAAAAACAAGAAAAATAGCAGTAATAATCAAAATCCTCTCTCTCTCTCTCCACAGCTACTCTTTCTAATTTTCTATTCTTCTTTTTCACTCACAGTAAATAAAAAAAAACCGCTCTTCAATTTCTTCATCGCATAACCCATTCCTCTCTCAACAACAGTAGATACCTTTTCCATTTTCCATCAATCCATCCAACCTTCTTCATCTCCTTCACTGGACCATTAAACCACCTTCACCGTAATCCACCAACCACCATCACAAACCCCTTATGCAAGCTGTCAGCTCCATCTCCTCATTAAACCTCCGAGCCCAATCCGTAATGCTCCCCTGTTTTCCACCATCAAACCAACCGTTCAACCCACAACATCCATCCTCCACCTCTGTCAACCTTCAATTCCTCGCAAAACCTCATCTCAAATTCCTCCAGCCACCTTCATCTTCGCAATCTACAACAACTCAATCAATCCTCCGTCAAACTGCGACAACCCCTTCATCTTTGCTATAACTCACTTTCTCACAAAAACAAAAGCTCTAACCCTCTGTAGATACTTCCACCGTTCAACAACAACAACAATATCTGGAGCATCTTCCACAAATTCCCTCGGTCGGCATCGTATCACATTTGTTTTCGGTTTCAACATTTTTCGGTAACTCTTTCCCTTTTCTTAACTGTTATGTTGTTTGAATTATTGATATAATTCTGAAAATTTGATATTGAGTTGCTTTGGTATTTTGTTTTGATTTGAATTAAGTAATTGTTATGCTGTTGAGGTAATAGTTGTTGTTATGTGGTGAAAATCAAATGTTGTGATGAATTTCTGATAAAAACAGTTTGCTATAGTATGTGTGTTTTATATTTTGAATTGTTATGCTGTGAAATCATGTGATATTTGGTCGTATCAAATGCTGGAAAATATGTTTAAGTTGGTCAATTCTGGTTTGTTCTTGTTAAAACGTAATGAAGAATTTGCTGCTGTTATGCTGTCCGAATTTATTCTTGCTGAAACTTGCACTCAAAACTTGTTTTTTTAATCACTTTTTGAACTTAATATGAAAATGATGTGAGTTGATTAAATTTTTTGTCTTGATGTTGTCTTGTTGTTTGAGTTATTTTAAAGAGTGGTTTTGATTATGTTTCAAGTTAAATTCAATTCATAAAGTTGTTTGGTTAATATTGGTATTTGTACATAAGTTTGGAATTACTTAGAAATTGATTTTCATGAGCTTTTTATGCATAATTCGTTATTGTCCAACTTTTGATAATGCTTTATTTAAGCTTGATTTTTCATGGATTGCATAATCTCATGAGTTCTTGATTTTGATTTGTGTAAATATTTATTTGTTCATATGCGTCATACAAGTTCATTTTTTGTGATTACTAACACATGTTTTAATCGTTGCAATTTCCTTCATTTTATTTTTATGCGGCCTATGCTACTAACGTGTTTGTTAATGTGAAGGTTTCTGAAAATCGTTTCAAGTATCCATTCTTACATAGCGCGTCCAAAATTCCTACACTTCTCCCTTTACCTCTTTATTGTATTTCATTATTTTGATTTAATATTTGGTACTATAAATATATACCTGTACATAATATTTTGATTGTATATTCTATTCACTTCATTTTTAAATAAATCTAGTTTATGTAAGTATTATTTTCATTGCGTTACGATTTTAAATTTTAATTCAAATTAACTTCTGAAAATCGTACGGAGGCATACAATTTTTCCCGTGCTGTTAGTTTTGTCTGTATATTTCATGTGATGCAGGGAATCTTATCCGGTACCGTGAGCTTTATCCACGCTTTCTTCATCCGTGATTTATTTTCACGCGTTGTGATTCATTGCGCTTTATTCGCTGCTTGGAGTATTATCTTACATCTGGTTTTTTGATTCTATCGACTTGTGATTTATTTTCACCTAAGGTTTGGTATACACTTAGCTTATTTTTACCTGTATGTGGCTTTAAACCCCAAAGGGATGGGAATACAGTATTGACTTCATTATGTCAAGTACTGGTTTCTTATTCGGTCGGATTCTCTTTACCGTATGTTTTACCCTCCTGTACATAGGATATTCTTTTCTCCCATCTTCTTTAATTTCAAAACCTTCTCATCTTTATCAAAATATTCTTTGTTTATAAACTCGAACTGCTTTCATAATAAACTCGACTTTGTCGAGTGCCTTTTCTTTTAAACTTCTTTTCTTTAAACAAACTTCAATTCATTTAATCATACTTTGACATTTTTCAAAAAATTAACAAAAACACTTCAACTCATTCAAACTCTTTGTACGCTCGAGCACCTTTACCCTTCAAAATTTTTTCCAAGATGAGACATGATTCATTGATAGTCGAGCAACATTCTCCTACCCCCATGGTTATAAAGGTGTCGACTTTTCCACTTGAGTACTAGAGGCATTCTCAAACCCCCACTCTTGCTGACGCAATATCCATCTTTCTCACACCTTGTGAGCGTTAGTCGAGATCTCTCTCCTAACAATGACGACTTATCTCTTTGTTTAAAGTCAGCCAACAAACAAGTCTTTTATAGCCGAACTACGGTTCTACTTGTTTGGTATTTACCATGCTCCCTTAGGATTGCTCGTGTAGGATTATGCCTCGAGCTAGACATTAGGATATTTACCCATGCATGCTAACATAGGTTAGAAACTTCCCTCTTTCATCCTCAACCTTAGGGTCAACCATTGTATGATAACATTAGGGATAGTGCTAGGCTAGTTTCCCTTAGTTATTTTTCCTTTCTTTTCATATTGCATCTTAAAACTAAAACTTCTTCTTGGCAAATCATAAAAACGTCTCTAATGAACTTAAATCCTTCTTCGAGGTAAAAAATAAAAACCAATCTTAATTGTTTGTGCGCCTTTTGGATTTGTTTTAAACCTTGTCAAGTTGACGCTTTGCCATCCTTGTCATGATATTTTGTTATCTTTTCACCGATGTTTCGCCATCACATGTGTTTTTTATCCTACTTTGATCCTAGATATCATTGTTAGGTGTGATGTTTTGTCATCTGGATTATTGATGTTTCGCCATCGCACATGTTTGTTATCCTACTTTGATTCTCAATATCATTGTTAGGTGTGATGTTTTGTCATCTGGATTATTGATACTTCGCCATCTTTGCCATGATTTTGTGGTATCTTTTAGCCGATGTTTCTCCATCGCATATGTTTAAGCCGATATTTCGCCATCGCACATGTTTGTTATCCTACTTTGATTCTCAATATCATTGTTAGGTGTGATGTTTTATCATTTGAGTTGTTGATGTTTCGGCATCTTTGCCATGTTATTTTGTTAAGTTTTAGCCGATGTTTCGCCATCGCATATGTTTTTCGTTGATGTTTCGCCATCGCGCATGTTTGTTATCCTACCTTGATTCTCAATATCATTGTTATGTGTGATGTTTTATCATCTGGAATTGTTGATGTTTCGCCATCTTTGCCATGTTACCTTTCTATCTTTTAGCCGATGTTTCACCATCGCATATGTTTGTTGCCGATGTTTCACCATCGTGTATGTTTGTTATCCTACTTTGATTTTCGATATCATTGTTAGGTATAATGTTTTGTCGTCTTGTATGACATTTTGTTATCATGCCGACGTTTTATCATCTTATCTGAGTTTGTGTTACCATGTGATGTCTTGTCATCCTTTTTTGTTGCTTTATCATCGTTTTTGATGTTTTGTCATTTTATCTGATGTTTTTCCATCTTGATTGTTTCTTTTGTCTTCTTAACTTAAAAACACAAACCAACCAAAATATATGAGCCGAACTACGGTTGCTCTGATTCCTTAAAAGGGATACGTAGGCATTGGGGTAGGGCCCGAACAAGCACAACTTTTATTTTCCCTACATTCTTTTCTCCTTTCTTTTGCATGCATTCCCTCTTTGCATTTTCTTTTTGCTTTTAAGCCTTAGACATAGATTTTACACACCCATTAGATTAGACAACAAGAGTGGATACCATAGAGTACTACAGGTGTGCGGGGTGCTAATACCTTCCCCTTGCGTATCAGACTTCCTTACCCGATCTCTCTGTCACAAGACCGTGATTTCACCCTCTTCAGGTTTTCTCGATGTTTACCTTTCCCTCTCGGAGGGATAAAAGACTTTCGGTGACGACTTCATTGATTTCATTATCGGATGACGGTTCAACCTATTGTTTCAACAAGCATGGTGTTTCAAAGTTCAAAATAGTTGGGCCAACCATCTCGAGTGGACAGGATAACCAAACTGATTCAAAACCCATATTAACGTGAATCTTTGCAAAGGCCCAACAGACAGGGGTAAGATAAGCCACAAAAGGGCAAGCTCTGTTCATACTTTCAAACAACTTCTTACTACATCAGCAATCTTCGAGTACAAAATGAGTTTCAGGAGACCATGTTGGTATAACACCATACCATCTTCTGACAAGAAGACTTGTTTCACAAATAACCTTTTATAAGCTTTAACCGTCCATGACCCACCATAGGGGCACCAGTTTCAAGTAATCATAAATCATTGTCATGCATTCATTAGGTCTCTTCTCTCTAGCATCGAGCCATGCATATAATCTCATCCATCTGACATATTCTTATAGCATGACTCTAATCTCACAAAAGTCCAATCTCACTTGGCATATACCATCAAAAGCCCAATATCACTTTCCATCTACCACCAAAAACCCAATCTCAATTTCCATCTACCACAAAAAACCCAATCTCACTTTCCATCTACCACTAAAAACCCAAAGCGCAACTATAGCGTAGAAATGTTGAGACTAAGCCATTGGATTGACTTAACTCGAACAAATTAAAAAAATTGCCATCATGCTTTATTGTTTCCAAAGGAAATGAGAAAAGAACGGATAAACCCAAAAGTGGGAGACATAATCTAGGTACGGAGGTTGGTTATGCAAAGGGAAGGTATTAGAACCCTAAACATCTATGGTACTCCACAGGAACCTGTTTGAAAATCTGCGTATTTTGGCTATAAAAAGTGTATACAAAAAATAAATGGTGGAGATGAGAAAAGAAGTGATTTTTACAATTTTTGCACCCACCGCGGTTGTGAACCTTTAGTTCCTATGTACAATCTTCCGTGCAATAGGGGACCGAGGTACTCGTAGTTCACCTCAAAAATTTTAAAACACATGTGTGTTGGTTAATTTTAAGAAAAGAGACATCATCACCGTATCCGAGTGGAAAACATACTTACTACCCACAATTATGAGAAATGAGCACTTGCATCATCTCAAAGTGGATTACATAGTTTTAGATTTAAAATCAATAAGACATCAACACCCAAGTGGAAAATGACTCTCTTCACTATATATCATAGAAGTATAGTAGCTTGTGTCACTACAAGAATCAACAAGAGTATAATCTTTTGAGAAATTTTTTAAAGTAAAAAGTCAAAGTGGCCAAAAATGGTTTGAATGAGGTTAATGACTTTTAGTCTTTCAAAAATAATGTCAAAGTATGGTTAAATTGATTAAATTTTGATTAAGAAAAGCTTTTTTAAAATGCATGGACCTAAGTCCAAGTTTATTATGAAAGCGGTTCTAGTTAGAAAAAACAAGAAGAGTTTTGAAAAGGAGGGAAAAGATTTTTGAAATTAAAGAAGATTTGAGGAGAT